ATGATTTTTAATAATAAGAGGAACTAGAGGCATATCTTTTGTTGTAAAAGGACCTATAAAAACATATTTTTACATCAGAAACAAAAAACTTTAATAGTAATCCTTAATTTTCATGTTTTTCATTTATAGGCATAAACAGTAAACACAGGTGTGTCCCCTTAATCAACAGGCAAATATATTAAAGGAACGAGATAATGGAAATAAAGTAAACTTTTCCCGATGTTGCAAAAATCGTGTCGTCGTGCAGTGACGGTAAAGTTTTATAGGGAAGACCGAAAAAACGTAGACTGTGGTTTGCTACTTTTTTGGTAACTCATACAATTCTTCAACGACTCTTTTTTTTTTTTTTTAATTACTCGTCGAAAAAATGACTTTGCAACAGTGTATATTTCATTTGGATATACAAATGAATGTAATCCTAGGTACACGTTTAAGGACGTTGGGGACCTTTGGGCCAATTTTATTTTTAGTATATGTTTTTAGTAGATAGAATATAAGAAACGTTTTATTTTTTAAAGCAATTATAGCTTACAACTCAATTTAGGATATTTGACAGATTCAAAAGAGATGTCCTCTCTTGATTCTAGTATGAATTGACACAACACAAGTACACAAATACATTTATTTATTCACATTTATATTTTCCAAATCAAACACCTTGTTCATGATCGTGTTCTTGATGCGGAAATGCAAATGTATATATAACGTAAGTGTTAAGTATTTTTACATTTATACATAACCAAATCACGCAAGAATTTTTTTGTCGATGTCTTTTTACCTTACTTTTTATTTAAAATAGGGTGTCTTTTAAAACGCAGTAGCGGATCTCCAATGGTATACATTTTTAATTCAAGTTCAATACTGCACTTGGTAAGTAGAAGCTATACCAAAGTATAACTAAATATATTTATAGCTATCAGTCACGATGAGTTTTGGACAGTTTCGAAATTGAGAATATTCGAGGCATAAAACAATCTTTCACTGAGGTTACTGTACAAGAACCCGTCAATATTTATTGGATCGAAGAAAAGTTATTCGATTTAGAAAGGCAGACCAGCGTGTACGCTTATGATTTATATGTACCCCTTCGGCTGGTATTTATAGTCGATTCGGCGATGAAATATGAGCGATAAGGAGTAGTCCTTGCTTAAAGCCGATGGCCAGCTGATAAGTTCTATTGCCAAAAGTTAGTGTGTTATACTATATGTGCCTCTTCGTTAGCTATGTGTGGCAATTTGATCACTGCAGCGAGCTGCGAGCTCTGAGCTGCAACAAAAAAAAATGGTGCACAATCCAACAAATACTTCCGGCTTTAAGTACCAAGCGAAGAAAGTTCGATGGCGTGATCGATGAAGCGCTGCTCCTGCTGCTGCCGCTCGACTTTTTGTTGCATGAAAAAGACCCCATGAAATACTGTTAGCTCTAACTGTGAAATCATGTCTATTCAAGCGCGATAACGTAATTCGCGTTTGCAGTGCATTGCTTCTCCCTCTCTCTCTCTCTCTTCACGTTCTTTTTCTGTAATGTTTCTTTGCTCAATGATCTGATAACTACGAAAAGACAATTTTTTCCTTCAAATGAAAATATTCACTGCATCCTGCGTGGAAAAGGTGCGATATTATGCAGAAAGTGTACCATCTACATTAAATTGTTTCTCTATAGACGACAACCTTTCTCGAAGTGTCACGAAAATCGCATTAGCAGATGATTTCCATGGCAGAAAATACAATTACATTGAAAATGTAGCGTATATTCAGACCGAATTCCGATTTTACGAAAAATCTTTTCAAAATAACGACGACCATCAATCACCTGAATACTGGTTATATATAAACGCAGTATTTCACGTGTGCAAGAGACAGAACGCTGCGCGCCTTCGATATATGCTATAACATTACCATACCGAAGTGAACGATGAATAGACGTCGTCAGAGACACGCTGATTTTCGTTCCATGAATAATTCACCAAACTACCATCATACGGTCCTTTGAAAGAATTAGTGGGTAAAAAAAATTATATAATGAGTTGGTTAAACTTAAGATAGTGACGAGCACTGTATCCATTCAACTCGTTACTAGAAAAGGAACAGTTTTTAAAACCGTTATTTTCAAAATGCATTCGATACATTAATGTTACAAGTTTTAATTCTGTTAAAAAAATTTAACGCAGAATTTAAAAACGAAATACCAAATTCCGACATAGGATGACTGTGCCATTGCCTAATCATGTACTCAACCACTTTTATTCAAGTCAAATAAACGTTTGGATAAGTTTTAAAATGATTGAATTGTTATAGTTTATTATAATTCAGTAAGTATAATTTTCATTTTACTAAGTGTTTTTTTAATAAAACTATGGAAATAAGAGTGTTTCAAAGTGTTTGGATAATGGCGCAACGTGATTTTTCGTAGGATAAATTATTCACATTCACACTTTAATTTAAAAAATTAAAATTTTTTAAATTCTTTTTTTTTTCTTAAAATCTCTTTGTGAATTTAGATAGTTTTAAGTGTAATCTTCAAGTTTTTGATTGACAAATTAAAAGATGTAAGTATTGATTTACAAAAAATTGGTCGGTCACTACAATTATCTGACCGGGTATTGGTAAAGTCGCTCTGCAAATGTATTAATCCCAAGAGTGCTAATACCACCCCATGTTCTATATCAGCACGTTAGATAAAGTTGTTGAATTATTGACACACGTATGAAGGTAAAATATTAAGTTTTTATGAACGAAATTTATAGATATAACGTAAAGTACTATTATAGTGTATTCGCAAAGGGTAGTTATATTTTATGTTCAAATCATATACATTTAAGAAATGTTTGAATTCGGATTTCTTATTTTTTAGTTTTTTAGTTAGTAACGGAAGTATGACATTTAAAAATTGGCATGTCGTAACAATCATACTACCACTTCTCCTTTTTTAAATATTATTGTGACATCACGAACTGATTTTCAGAAATCTATCTAATAAATTTAATAAATAATAAATACAATCACGAGGAATACGAATTCTAGTAGAGTAAAAAAATGAATAAATTTTAACTTCACCGTATGAATTAGCAAATATATTTGTTAGAAGTATTCATTTTTAATTGAACTCTATATTGCAATGGATTCAGTAACCGTAATGTGGATAAAATAGAGGCGCACTTTTAGTTTGAAAATAATTTAGTTAATAAAATAAAATTGTACCTGGCCCCGCAGAAGTCTTCGAAACAGGCGGAAATTGAAAAGATAATTTACACTATGCAATGAAATATTGTTTGAGCACTCGCTGGATCAAGCCTCAGAGACTAACTAAGGGGTCCAAAGTTTGCATCTAACTGTTTCAGCTAGACTGACAGATTAATAGAATCAGGACAACAATTTGTTGGAAAGGAAATTGTATTACATTGTACATTTATCATCTATGATTATAATAAAATATTATAGTTTTTTTATGATCGTTGCAAAAGCACATCATATTCGAAGTTTTTTATAGATTAAATATAACTATCTTAGGAGTTTTATAAGAGATAAATATTAGGTGTTACATAGATCAAGCTTTAAATTCAAATTGTCTCTTGAATAATTATAAAACACGTTTTATGCAAAAGAAAATCGTAGAGCTTTTTTTGAACGAAATTTTCACATACGTAGTAGGTGGAAATTACAAACCCAACACAAAACTATTCCTTTAGGGTTTTCCTTAAAACTATTTTATTTATTACTAGTTATGAAACTTTCGCTAGAATTCGTTAAAAAAAATTAACGAGAATCGATCAAAATAGGTGACAGGATGAAGAGCATGAAAATTTCTTTTACTGTGGATAAATTATTTATAGCTGTTGGAACAATTTTACGAATGGATATTGTAATCATTTCCTTTTTAAATTCATTTTTAAAGCTTTCACTCTAGCAAGACATCAATAAAATATTACAAATTGCATTTCGACCTACAATTTAAGCAAATAACGATGAAATAATACCGAAAAGAATTATTAAAGTAGTCACGCATCATTAAGATTTTGAGCAGTTGCGCATCGATCAACTAAGTTTGTAGATGTAACTCATAGATTTAGCAAAGCCTTCCTTCCTGCTTGATTCCGACGCTTATATCGCCTATATCCAATCTGTTCGATCGGTAATGGTCGTAGCATAGTATTGCAAGCTTAAGTTTGCGAGCGCTTGTTACAGAATACAAGTAGAAAGTGGCTTTTGTGAGCAAAAAATCAGTGACCCATTCGCGACTGCGGCAAATATTGTGCGCACAACGCCAATAGCCGTCGCCGCGGCCGTCAACTATGGTTAAGCGTAAATCGAAGATGCTCTTTGCTGCAGTAGCAGCGGCTCGATAACGGTTTCTTTTTATTGCTAATGGTTACGCTACACTGGAAAAAAAGTCTTACACAAACATCTCTCTGCCTTTTTTTTGTCGTTTTAATTATAAACATTGCCGGAAGTCAAGAAAAGAAAGAAAAAAAGGGTTATTAAAAAAGAAATAATTGCTTTACAGCTTGAAACTTTTAACGATGTAATCAGTTATTAGATTAACGAAAATTTACCTTAATTACACTTATAGTCATGTTGAAATGCACCATTCGTTCAGTAGACAAAAATAGTCTCTAGATTATTTAATTAGGTTGTAAAAACTCATTATAAAGATTTATTTTTACTTCTATCATGCAAAATGGATATCATTAACTATCAATAAAATTAACCGATACCTTTTTCAAGCAATCAATTCTTTTTTTTTTAATGGCTGAGCTTTGAAAAATACAAAGAACGATTTTACACACATCTAAACATTTCTTCAAGGAATAGGAAAATTTTTCTCGAAATTCAAATAAACAAAAAGTTCGTTGATTCGCCTATGACTTTGATGTTTTTTTGTTTTTTAAATGAATAATTAAATGACGAAAACTAATCAAAACAAATGGATATCGCTAATTAAGTATTTGGGAAACCACCTTCAATTAAAATCGAAAGGAAATGAATTGATTCATAAATTACCTTTTTACACAATTACGAGATGCTTCGTCATCATCTGTCGGTCCACCCGCACCAGAATCCTATAAAAATTAAAATTGTTAATCATCAATATCAGACAGGAACTTGAGCAAAATATTGTATTCGTATTAGATAAATTATGGATTTTATTTAAAATAATTTGGCCGCATTGTTTACACATCGTTATAGAGTGGATGATTCCACTATATTCCGTAATCAAGCCCAAGTAGGAGGAGGATACTCAACCACCATCCAAACAATGGAGTGCAAGCTCTCATTTCATGAGCAACAGATACCTTAAGATTCAAACAGTTTAAAAGATTAATGGAAATCTTCATTTACAGTAAATAAAATAAAAAAACGATGTAAGATTTCAGTCGAAACGTTCTTCTTTGTAGGTACCGATACACTGGTGAAGTGCCTACTCGACTATGTAAAATTAATATAATATGCCTATTTACTTATTGTTGTACAAACAGGTTGTAAATAAATATGAGTTAAAAAAAAATTTTAACTCGAAAAATTGTAACAAATAAGAGTACGCTACTCGAGAGACTTGTTTCAAAATTGAATGAAAACCATCGTGTGGTGGGGTTTTACGCTGAAAGTCTCCCTTTCACCCTCTATATTTCTTTCTCTCGTTAGCTTAAAATCCGTAACTCCTGTTTCGTGACGCTCTCCGACCGTATGTAAACAAACATACAAAAGAATAAGTATTGCATAATGAACTATAATGCAGCTGCTATGCAGTTTACGTATAGTGAGCACTTGCATTCGAGTATTTTCAATGGTGGCTTATGTAGCTACATGCATTCTTATATACACACAGTCACACTCAGACTACGCGAGGATGACACGACACGATGCAACTGCAGCCAACGCGTTTTTCTTTGTTTATGAACATGAAGTTATAAGTACGATAAAGTTCATTGTTTGCTACATTAGAAAGGAATACTGCTGTTGTATTTATGCAAGCACTAAAATAATCACATTTTTTGCGCCAGCCAATTCAAAAAAATATACATGTCATATTTATGCAAATAATATTGGTCCACTGTTTTTCAACTTTGTTAATTTGGTGAGCTGACATGAATAAAAAAAATTTTTGCCTTAACTGAATATTAATTGTATTGATGTTTATAATTGATTGTGATGATATATCATTTACATTGCATTATATGTCTGGGAGAGTTTTTACCCATTTATATTTCTTGCTCAGAGCAACAGTCAAGTATAGCAGTATTTTAAAAATAATTGATGCAAAACAACGTAAATTTTATCATATCTCCTTACATCGTCTACGCCGGGCCTAGGCAATTAAGGGTCATCATCTAGAATATTTAAAGCATGTTTTTCATGTTGAATTCGTAATGCTTGACTTTTTTTATATTAAAGCCATATATAGCTACCCAAATGTAAAGAACACTGAACATGTAATCGGAACTAAAAAACGAGTACATCATATTTGAATTAAAATGGCTATATCTCTGTCAATTTTGCTTGGATAAACGTAAAATTTGAACACAATACTCTTGATGGCCTAGAAAATCGAAAAAGACGATAAAAAAAAGCGAAAATTCGGTCAAAAAATAGTATTCCCCCCCCCCTTCCCCCCATAATCATACTTTTGAATGATTATGACCTTTCATTCTATTTTACATAATATATGTTTTGCTCTGTTTGAAAAGATACAAGCAAATAGTATATTACTGCCCTAGGCCGGGAAAAACATAAAAGCCCCAGGGCACGTGAAATAAGCACGGGCACTGGGGCTTTCTTTTTTCCCGGTATGACCGGTATGCTATTTTCGGGCCACGGGGTATGTAATAGTAGATTACGCAACGAGTGCGGAGTAGGTGTTCCCACGAATGCGACGTTTGCCGCCCGAGCGCAGCGAGTATACTATTTTTTGATACAGCTGCGGAAAGTTCGTTTTTTCGCACGCTTACGAACTCTTCGCACGCTGTAGCCACAGCACCGGGATCTTTTACTTTCGAAGCATCCTACTGACTGCGAAAAACGAACTTTCCGCACGCTGTATCAAAAAATAGCATACCGGCCTATACCGGGAAAAAAGAAAGCCGAGCTTCGCCTTGGTCGCTTATTTCACGTGCCCTGGGACTTTTCTGTTTTTTCCGGCCTAGGGTAGTAATATACTATTGTGCTACCCCAACTAAAGTAACATTTTACTCCCACTGCGCAAAACCAAAATGTTACTTTAGGCTGGGGGATACACAAAAAAATGTATTTGCACCTAAGTAGCGAAAAAAGAAAGTCTCAGAGCACGCGTAATTTATCATCCGAGGCGAAGCCGAGGTTTTTCACTCCCTAGATGCAAAATATACTAATTTATAGCACTGCGTGGCATAAGTTCAAATTTATGGCACTCTTTTCTGTGGCATAAGTGGCACATTCTCGCCCCGCTGCGTTTGCATCATACTCGCATACGCTCGTGCACTAACCTCACTTCATGGTACCAGAAAGTGCGACTCATGACTCGGAAAAAGGGGCATAAATGTGAACTTGGCACAGTGCTATAAAATGTCGTACGATACTCGTGACATGGGGACACTTTTCGGCCCAGCTATTAGGGCCCTCGCTGCGTTCGGGCCCTAAACTACGCCACGCCAAAAAGTGTCATTTATGGCACTTATATCGTAAATTACTATTATAATATCCATCATAAAACAGTTAATCTCCCCCGAGGTTGCGTTTGTGACCATCGGTGTTCAAAAGAAGCGTATTCCACCTGAACGCTGTAGCTCAGATACTCTGAATATTATGATAGGTAAACAAATACATGATTTTCCAGAAAACGCAAATGAAGAAAAAAATGTACACGCAAAGATATACAATAAATGCTCACGAAAATTCCTGTATCTCTAATTTTCTTCTGCAAAGAAAAATATGTTTAACAAATTGATTTGTATCATTCTACAGGTACCTTTAAGCACGAGTTGCAACATTTCACAAACTGTAGAAGCAATGAAAATCACGGAAACGCGTGCACTCGCAATCTCGTCTATCACATGCTTATATATTAAGCATGAATCGCTCCTTATCAACTCAAGTATCGTTGCTTCGTGTTAAAAAGCGATTCTTTATGCATTATTTGTGAATGCGGTACGTATCACACACTCGACTGAGATTTATATCCAACGAAACAGGTAGATTATTTTTTATTAAGGTGGTTCGGTCAAAATAATCGTAATAGTATATTCAGGTGGCTACTTTCACTTTTTTACGAATTTGATACGAATGACTTATTGGTGTTCCTTAATGCTCATAATCATATTTTTTTTAAATTATTCATTAGTAAGTGTGGAAAAGTGAAATTTTTAACATACCAATCGAAAAGTAATGAATTAAACTATAATTGAGTGGTTTTTGGATACAATCTAGCTGGTAGTAAAAAAGTTACCGCTTAAAATGCACGAAATTCTTAAGGCCTTCCATACGAGCCTATGTTGAAATAACCACTTTTGAGAGCTTTGTTCTCAAAAATTAGTGCGGTACCTAACCTATGCTGAAACTTTGACAGTTTAACAAATCACCCTTAAACAATATTTCTGCAAAGGTCCATGAGAGCCTAGCTCAAATGCATTTTACTACCAAACGACCTTTAATGTGCATATTCTAATCGTGATCGGTGAAGTAATTTTTCTTTCAATTACAGAGAGTGAACATGCAATAAGCATTTGGGTTATAATTTATGCGCTAACTAAAATCGATAATATTTATCGATAAAAGAATTAGGAGAGAATTACGTTGCACAATGACCTGAATTATTTGATGTCCACGCTTTCTTTTGATGCTTGCAATGCACAAATAATTTCGAACGTGCAGCCAACCACACCGCTGCTGCTCGTAGTTTGGTCACCTTATAAACACATCACATACCAATGACAACTCGTCAGCTGCAGTGACCAGCTCGAGAGTCTTTCAAAGCCTCCGTCGGAGCGAATATATCTTCTCGCGAGAATCTATAGTAACCCGAATATCTGTCTTGGCTCTATGACGCACACGGTGACCCATGACTGACGAGACTACCTGCCAAAGACGTTCGAGCAAAGCAATGCCGAAAACAAAAAAAAGCAGGGATTTGAATAATGCTCTGCTGCATGATACAGTAATGCCTGGGGGATCCAACGTTTCAAAGACTTGTAATTAAATAATTTAAGGCAACGCATAAATTCGTAGGTAGAGATAAAGGAAAAAAAATGTGTATGACTGTGTGTGATATGCCTAATAAAATAAATCATTGTTTCAGACTGTTTTCTATTAACTTACGCTTGCAGTTTGCTGAGAAAATTGTCGTCGTAAATGACCGAGATCACAAGATTGATTAATCACATATTGCATAACAAGTTAGTTTATAAAGCACATAAAAAAATTATCGTAAGAATGAACTTTTAATGTTTAAGGTAAATGACTTGAATTTTCCAGACTTTTATTGTAAAACCATAAATACACTTATTTTCATTCAGTTCTTTACGAAAAAAATGATAAATGAACTAATTTCCTCGTGATTTGCTTGTTTTACTGTACGTATAACAACAAATGATAGGCTTAACTGTGAAGCGTTTTCAAAGGTTTTCCAATTGATAAATGAATTCTGTTCAAACTGGCGGTTCGAAAGTACCATTAACTAGCCGTTTCGTCTAGATGCCGTAAGAGTTTTCGCAAACATTTGGAACTACATAGTGTTTTTCAATGTTTCTTAGAGTATTATGATGCTTTTAATCGACGATTTCCTAAAAAATTGTCCGCTTCCAAATTATCAACAAATTAATCGGTTAATCGACTATACTTTGTAAACTATTAACTAAAGATTGACTAAAGTAATCCTTTTTCGAAGCGATGACATTTTTAAAAGCTAAAATTAAGTTATTTTAATGAGACGAAAAATGATCAGAGTAACTTTCTGTTTATAATCTGGCAAGGAATCTACAAATATTTTTCAATTTTCACATTTTGTTTTTTATAGACGAAATGAAATTTCCGTTACAAAAAAAATCTTTTTTTTTTCAAATAAAAAGTATCGATTCTAAACAAAAAGTTA